CTTAGCAGGATGCAGCGCACCCTTCATGCGACTCGCCAAATACGTCACGGCGCTTCACGCTTGGTGATGTGAGAGCCTGGTCCGGTGAAAACCCCGCGTGCTCCGTCCCGGCTTTGTAGGGATGCGAGGTCAATGGTCTAGCGACCACGGCATGCACGACTATGAGTACACCCCCCCCACACAGAGAGGTGAAAACGAACGAATTTCCGACTGTTGAGGTCTCAAGGTTTTTGGGTTGTTGGAGAACAAGTCATGCGGGAAATCACGGGGTGGCCCTCGCAGTACACAACTACCGAGGAGCGCAATCCGTTCGACGAGGCTTGTCAACCACGCAAGAACGGGTCAGTAGATTCACGGGGGGCGGGTACTTCATAACACACGAAATTCCCAACACGTACCCCCCGAGATCCTCGCCATCAGATACTGCTGCGAGTTTATCTAGCGTTGCCCCTCTGATCCCAACAGTGTTTTCACTGCAAACTTCGCACGCGCACACCCCTTGCCCCTCCCCTCAGCTTACCCATGCCCTTGCCCGTGACCCGCGTGCGGGTTGTCGAGGTCTTCAAGATCCACTCCCGAGTCGTACCGACCTTTCTTCGTAGGATCCGACAACACCTGAGGCAACAAGGACGGGGCAGAGACGGCGGCTCGAGAGCTTAAGCAGGAGGAGGGAAAAAGACCAAGTATTGAACCAACCTGTGCCCGCACCCCTGTAGAAATAGCGGACCGGAGGGAGAAAAAACTACGGAGTATGTCTTTCCTCCCTTCTGAAAGTCGGAGGTGTTCGGCAGAAGCAGAACCGGTGAGGCTATGCTAAACCACCACCACCTTGAGCAAAGGGATACATACCAACACTATCCTCCCCAAATGGTGGTCGAGTGAGTTTTGTTGGCGGGGTCGAGAATCCTCACTCCGCGCAAAAGGGGATAATCGCACCGCGTTGCGTTCAATTAGTCAAGCACCCTCGAGACAGGTACACAGTGCTTTCAACTGTCACTGGAAGTGAAAAGACCAGAAAATAAACCATTTCAGTCGCAGCTGTCATCCGTATGCAAGGAGAGCAAGCGCAAGAAGCCCAACACCCTGAGTAGGGTGAAGCGAACCCCCCATGAGACTCGCCGAACACCTCACAGCGCTTCGCGCTTGTTGATGTGCTAGCCTGGTCCGGTGAGAGCCCGGCGTGCTCAGTCCCGGCCTTGTAGGGATAAGAGGTCAATGGTCTAACGACTACGGCATGCACGACTATGAGTACACCCACCTCCCCCTTCTAGACTTAAGTGGGTTGGCGCTGTTGGCAAAGCGCTGTAAACACGCCACCCCAAATATAGCTCCCATAGTATGCGCTGCCAACGACGAGTGACACATGGATGCGTGGAGTGACGATTGCATACATAAACCTCACAGGTTGAGTGATTTAGGAGATTGCCGGACGTGTTGAGTGACTATAGCTGCATACTGAAGCCCCACGGGTTGAGTGAGGTTTGAAATTGCCAGACAAATGGACGGGTTGAGTGGGGATAGCTGCATACTGAAACCCCACGGGTTGAGTGATGTTGGATAGTGCCAAACACATGAACGCTTTGAGTGAGGATGGCTGCATATTGAAACCTCACAGGGGATTTGTATTGGAGATTGCCGGACACCTAGACGTGTTGAGTGAGGATAGCTACATACTGAAACCTCACGAGTTGAGTGAGGATAGCTGCACATTGGGACCTGACGGGTTGAGTGACGTTTGCGACTGCCGGACACATAGCCGCATTGAGTGACGAAAGCTGCATACTGAAACCTCACAGGTTGATTTGTATTGGAGATTGCCGGACACCTAGACGTGTTGAGTGAGGATAGCTACATACTGAAACCTCACGAGTTG